TTGATATCTAGTATGGGTTAGGGCCCAGATTAGGGTCTTGGCTAAATTTGGGCATATACTCTGTATGTTTATTTAATAGTTGGAATAATTGTTCTAGAATTATTTTTATTGTTAAATTAATTAATTATGTCGAGAGAAAAATTAATTAATAATTGGAAATTAGTTTTTGCCTTGTCTATGAGGATATAAAATTAATTAAGCCAAACTTTTTAGAACACATTAATGTTGCCTTGAGAGAGGATAAGTTAATGAAATATTTGTGACAGAAATATTATTATTCCAATTATTGATTAAATATGTGACAACAATACTTAACTCACATGATGCCTTGGCCCGAAGTCTAGTCCTATACCCGTACTATTTATTTTCTTTTTCTCAAAAGCACCCGGTAGTTTAGTTTATTTTTATTAAATCAAATCGAGAAGACTTTCAGACCTGTCCAAACCTTTGGCTAGTTATAAAAATTAACTAATTCCATTCGTCCACTCCTCGAGAGACACGACACTCGGAGAAAACTAACCCTTCATTGGGAAGGTTGACTTACCGAAAAACTCAATCATCAGGTCCCATGAGGTTTAGTCACATCAAGGGACTTGGGTGTATTTTTTTGTAAGGGAAAATCCCCCTAAGGCCGAGCTGAACCACCCATAGCCTGACCTAACAAGTAGGAATGTCAAGGGACGTTACTCGACTTGGCATAGTTGTGGCTCGGTGAATGAAAAGGGCATGGTCGGCCGAATGTCCAAGACCCCCTCATTCCTGCTCAAGCGTTTGTAGCTCATTAGGCTCCTAGGAGGTTAAGTCGCCTCAAGGGACTTGGGCATATTTTTCTTAAATTAAAATCCCCTAAGGACGAACTGAACCACCCTAGGGCATATGCTCAAACGTATATTACCATCATGTTTCTACAAAGGGAGACTCCTCATAGTCGGCAACCTTTTGTGTACACTCGAACTTGACATTAAGGTCAAGTTGATCACTTCTTCCATATATCACAATCGTCAACCGCTTCGCTTGCTCAACTTCATTTTCCTTACTCAAAGACCTTAAACCGAAAAGGATTTTTTCCATGTTCGTATCATGAGGCGAGGATGGACTCTTTTCTTGACCGAGGTTTTGTGCTCCATTCTCATGGGTTTTTAATCGGGAAGTTTTACATGAGGCATCCCCTCACGATATCGTAACATAGGTCAAGGGAACTAAGGTAGATTCTTGGATACAACGAACACATCAAGTTTGATGATTTCCCATATCTCCTCGGCTCTGGAAAACGAGCATGGGGGACTCTTGGGTATCGTTTCTCTTTTCTCATCAGCTCAAGCACACTTATCTCAAGACTCTCAACACGCATTCAGAGGAATACACCTTCAATGTTGTTGACTACAACACTCCTTCAGCATGCAATGAATGTACTCTTTTCTTGTTGGGGATTTTTCCGTGTCACCGGGTTTTTCTCCCAATCAGTTTTTAATGAGGCACTCCTCCCCATTGAAGTCGAGCGTGACTTCTTGGAATACTTAGGCAAGGACCACCAATGTGGGGCAACACATGCGTCCTCAAAAGTGGAATATATACTAGAGCAACGTTGTGATTTTTGTCACGATTGGTTGGCGTATCTACTTCCTCTCACCTCGAGAAGTGGGGGACTATGGATGGAGATATCTCGCCTAAAACCAGGGCCTATATTATATGGGCTTCGAAGGAGCAAGCAAGGCCCATGAGTAAGTAAGTGAGGGTGAGGCTCCACGGCCTCGTCCGTCTCAAGCTCGGCCACACCACTCCCGGGTCGTGCAACTCGACTCATTACCATTGGGCTTTTAGGAAGAAGGATTCAAGCTCGGCCATCATGAGCACAGTAAGGATCAGGCTTGGCCATAAGCACAACATGGGTGCGCTTGGCCATCACCACACTAGAGAGAGTTTGGCATGGTCGGCCATTGGATGAGCTCAGCACCAATCAGCTCCTAGTGATCAACCCCTCGGGAACAACAAACCGACCCCTGCCATGTGAATAGTCTTCGATTCTGATGAGAAAGAGACATGTAATAGTGTAGATCAAACATAATTAATGAACCATTTATTGTAACCTAGGGTAGTTGGACCCCATTCCATTACTTTTATTGTATACATAGACCTTCTCCTTCAACAAGTGGAGGGATCGAATTTTGAGTTATTCAAGTCATATTACAAGCTTCAATCTTTTC